AGGCTGAGCCACCGAGCCCGGCCTCCTATTTTTTTTATAGAGACAGAGTCTCGCTATGTTGCCCAAGCTGTTCTCAACTCCTGGACTTAAGCAATCCTCCTGCCTTGGCCTCTCAAAGTGCTGGGATTACATGCATAAGCCACCATGCCCAACCTTAGATGGACTCTAAGCCTTCAGGAGGGGTGAAATCTCACTCAAGAGTCAGTGTAGATGGAAAAGAAATGAAGCCCAAGTTCCCAGCTCTTAGAGTTTGCAGAAACATCCACCTCAAAGAAAACTGAAAAGAGCAGTCAGAGAGGGAAAAGCAAAAAAGGGGGGAAGCCGCTCCGGAAGCCATGCAAAGAAAGTGAGTCAAGGAAGAGTGAGGGGCAATGGGTTGGAGTGGACATTGGGTTTAACAGCAAGGAGGCCATTGGTGACCTAGACAAGAACAGTTTTATGGAACTTGATTGGAGTCGGTTCAGAGAAATGGGGTCTGTGCCTTGGGCTGAAGATTCCCAAGTAGTGGGAGCAGGGTGCAGGGAGTCTGGGGGCAAGTGGAAACCCACTGGGACCAGGACAGCTGAAGGCAGAGCTAGCTGTCGTGTCCAGGGCCTATGCCCGGGTCTCACAGAGTCCTGTCACTCAAGCTCTCCAGAGCCTGGTTCATCCAGGGCTCCGGGCAGCCACTGAAGGATGGCTAGGGCTGTTTCTGTAAGACCCCCCCTTCCGAAGACTGGAGAATGGAGTGGAAGGACTAGAGAATGCAGGGAGGAAGGGGAGCCTGCAGGAGGCACCAGGCGTGCACATGAAGCAAACGCGCAGATGTGAAGGGCATTTAGGCGGTGGAAGGAGCAGGAGTTGTGTTCAGTTATCATAGGAAGAAGGTGGAGGGTCATGCTGGCTCCTGAGATGCTGTCAGGACAGTGGAGTGAGGTGCTGCTTTTTATTCATGAAGAAAATGCTGAGAGGAGGAGTTGGGTCAGGGACAAGAATTCTGATTTGGACCCATGAAGCCTGCAGTACACATTCACTGTCAGCTTATATCTCCAGAAATTAAGCTTCTCAAATCTGCAAACGTAACACATGCACAGTGGTCTTGGAGACCAATTCCCACGCCAATCATTTTTATGCTAAAGCTGTGTTGCATTTTTACAACCACAGGCACAAAGGGAGACTGGCCGGGCCCTGTGTCCAGATGAAATCAAGCTTAATGCTAGATATTGCCTGTGACCAGCACCTACCCCACCTCCATCCATCCCTTGGTCTTCCAGCCATCTCTGTCCCCTCTTCCTCACACAGGGAACCCAGCCCAGGCCAGATTTCTGTGTCCGTCCCCCATCCCTTCCCTCACCTGGACCACATTATCTTGTCCTCCTGGATCACCTGCTCACCCCCACCCTGCGCCCACCTGCACCAAATCCCTCAGGCCTCCCTCTTGCCCAGCAGACTCCTGAGCCTGCAGGGCTTTCCCTGAGGACTGAAGAACCAGACTCCGGAAGCAAAAGCCATGACCTAAGCCCCCAGTACAGCCCTGTTATCAAACAGGGGCAGGCCTCAGCCCCAACGCAAAAAGAGGGGGCCCAGAAAGAGGGCACCTGGGAGCCAAAGGAGGTATTGGGCTGGAGGGGCTGAGGGAGGGGGAGAGAACTGGGGGGAGGGGAGGGGCCGGTGGGAGGAGGAGGAGGAGGGGCCTAAAGGGAGGGGAGGCTCGGGCAGGGACTTGGCTCCTGCTGCGGTCCAGCTCGCTGGACTTTCCTGACCTCAACTTGTCTTCTAGCCCTCCCAGCCGCCCAGGCCCAAGCCTCCCATCCCCACCAAACCTCAGCTGCCCCCTGAAGTCTACACAGGCCCCCTGCCACGATCCCGCCCGGCCCCGCCACCCAAGCCCGCCAGCCCGATCTACCACGAGCCAGATGAATCCATAGCCTTCTATGCCATGGGCCGGGGCAGCCCCGGGGAAGCCCCCAGCAACATCTACGCCGAGGTGGAAGATGAGGGCCCGCTGACCCTCCTCAGGCACCCTGTTCTACGGAAGTGCCGGTCCAGGCCTGTCCCAGGAGGCCAGGTAAATGGGGGTGCGAGGAAAGGCTAGTCGCAGAAGGCCTCCCTGCAGGCTAGATTGGGGAAGGTGGAGGTGTTCGGGTTGATGCCTGGGTCAGCGTGAAAGCCAGCGGCCTGAGATGATGCAGGAAAGCCAGAACAGTCCAGGCTGCCAGCACCGCCTTCCAGGTCCAGGGTGCTCCTTCTTCTCCCCGTGTCACTCAGGCCGGCCCCACCTGCGTCAAGCCCCACCCCCTCCTATTTCACAGAGAAAACACAAGTCCTCAGGCAGGGACCCCCTCAGCCTTCCCCTTGTGTCATCTCAGATGAGCTCAGGGGAAGGGGTGTCTGCACGCCCAGCCTCCTGCATACTCCCCCCCTCCCTCTTCCATCCCCCCCGCCCCCGGTCTTCTCCTGACCTGTTCAAGTCTGCATCTCATGTGACGGGTTAGAACCGCTGGCCTCTCCCACCCTCTCCCTCACCTCTGGCCCCCTCAGGCTCTTCCCCACTCCCCCTTCCTGCCGGTGCCCCAGGCTCCCCCTCAGCCCTTGCGCCTGCTTGCTCACTCACCCACCCCTGCCATACTGCTGTTCTAGAGCTGATGTTGCCATGTCTCCATCCAGACTTCTCTCCAGACTTCTGCTCAACTCCCCTGGGTCCCACGGCCCATCAAACTCAGCACAACCAACACTGCCCTCACCCTTGTCCTCCAGACTGCTCCTTCAGCATTCCACATCCTGATGGATAACCCTCCCGCCATCCAGCTTGGCAAGCCAGAGTCCCAGGGCTCCCTCAACACCCACCTCCCTCTTCACCTCTACAGAAGCCACTCATTCCTGCTGGCTCTTTTCCTGAGTGGAGTTGTCCTTTCCCCAGTTCCAGCTCCCATCATTTCTCATCAGGACTTTTCCAAGACCATCTTCTTTTTTTTTTTTATTGTGTGTGTGTGTGTATTTTTGTTTTTTTGGTAGAGACTAGGTTTTACTATTTTGCTATGTTGCCTGGGCTAGTCTCGAACTCCTGGACTCAAGCAATCCTCCCACCTTGGCCTCCCAAAATGCTGGGATTACAGGTGTGAGCCACCATGCCTGGCCTTTCCAGGACCTTCTTAACTGGTCCCCTAACCCCGTTCTTGCCACTTCTGATCCACTCTGACCCAAGGAAGCCAGAATGGTCCTTCTGAAGCAGCTGCCTGGCCTGTGAGGCCTTCCATACTTGAGTGGGAGTGGGGGTCCCACTCCTTAGCTCACCACCAGCTGCTTCATACTCTAGAACTATTCATTTTTCTCTAAACTCACCAAGTATCTCAAGCCTCTTGAGGTTTGTACCCACCGGCCCAGCCTATAGCAGCTTCCTGCAATCTCATCCTCTCACTGTCCACAACCTTCTAATCATCCTTTAAGAACAGCTTTCCCATGAGCCGGGCGTGGTAGCGTGCGCCTGTAGTTCCAGTTACTCGGAAGGCTGAGGCGGAAGGATCGCCGGAGCCCAGCGGGTCGAGGCTGCGGTGGCCAGGAGCAGCTACTGCACCCCAGTCTGGGCGACAGAGTGAGACTCCAACTCAAAAAAAAAGAACAGCTTTCCCTTCTCCTCCTCTGGAAAGACTTCCCTGACCTGCCACAGAGGCCACCTGTCTCATCCCATCTCCCTCCACCTCCTTCCTTCTCTAGTAGAGTGTGAGCTACCTGAGGGCGGGGGCTGGGACTTACCTCTGATTCCAAAGCATCCAGCTCAGCGCCTGGCACAGAGAAGGTGCTCAGGAAATGTTTGTTGAATGAATGAATGAGAGGGGTTTAGACCCCTCTCTGGAGGCCAATGTCTGCTAAGGCCAGGTACTTTGTCCTTGAGACCCCAGGTAGGCCTAAGAGGCAGAGGGTACCATAGGATTGTCCTTCTCTCTGCAGAATCCTGGTGGCCCACAGCTGCATTCTGAGAACTCTGTGACTGGACAAGGCCCTCCTCTGCCCCACCAGCCTCCACCCACCTGGAGACACACCCTGCCCCACAATCTTTCTAGACAAGTGCTTCAGGACAGAGGACAGGCATGCCTCCCCCTTGAGCCTCCTCAGTAGGTGGTGAGTCTGAGCTAGGGGAGGATAACTTGGAACATCAGGTCCAGAGACCTTCACACACACCTGGGCGCCCTTCTCAGGAAATGTGGATGGAACAAACCATAGGTGATCAAAGCTGCAAAGGACCTCAGCCATCATCTGCTGCAAGGATGGCAAAGAGGTGTCATCTTGCATGCCAACTCCAATCCATTGGTCGTGGCTGCCTAGAGCGCAGCATTGGAAAGGATGTTAAGGTCATATCTGAACTCAGCAGAAAAGAGCACCATGATTGATTAGTGATGTCTGCCACGGGTGAGGGAGGGAGGGAGAATGAGCAGCATTTCATTTGCCCTTACAGATCAAGCCCAGCTCCCTTACTGTGCAGATAAGGAAACAAAGCCAGAGAGGCACAGTGACTTGGCCAAGGTCAAGGACTAGAACCCAGCCTTCCTGACCGCCCTGCTTCGTGCACTGTTCCTTACCCCACATCCATGAACTCTTCTCCACAGGAAACTTCAGAGATTTCCTCAGACAGGAAATCTGGCTGCTTTCCAGGGTTCTGCTGCACAGGGGCCTGGTGGCTGGGTGCCCTGTTCTGTCTAGATCGCAGCTTAACCTCGTCCCTCTGACAGGTCTGTCCTCCCCCCCAAGAAGCCTGGAGGTCAGAAAAGCAAAGTGTGCAGTCTGCTTCTTCTTAGGGGCACAGCCACTGGCTCCCTCCTGACAGTCCCCAGGAATCTGATGGCTTAGTGCTTGGCAATCCTCTAAAACAACACGGAAATGTGCTAGGAGGGCCCTGCTGGCTCCCGCTGCCCTGGTTTCTCCTCCTGGAGTCATTCCCTTGGCCCTCTGAGCCTTGGTGTCTGGGCCCTGGTCCAATGCTGCTGTTGTCTGAGGAATGGTTTGGTGAGAACAGATGTTAGAACTTGTTTGTTGATTCTTGTCTGGCTAATAAATCATCACCAGCCGCCTCCCCCTACAGGGATCCCAGTCCTCCAGGCTCCTTCTGTCTCTGTCTCTGACTTTCCTCTTTCACATTGGAAGGCAGGTGGTTGAACTGCCATTGCAGTGGGGACAGTGGAGCCTGAAGCTTGAGAGACACCTGGACAAGGGATGCAGACCTCTACCAAGTGCTCCTTCCCTCGCTGGGCTGGGTCAAGCAGGAATGGCTGTCTCCAGAGCCGGGGCAGGGAGGGGAGCAGGTGAGGAATGGCCCCTTCAGCTCCTCCCCAGCCCCTCTGCCAGGCACTGGACTTGGGAGGAGGTGTGTGTGAGCCCCTCAGAGGACAGGGACCCCTCCCCCAGAAGCGGAACCAGGTCTTTCAGGTCTTCTTAACCTCTTGGGCTTAGACCCCTCTCCCCCACCCCCCCTTGTGACATTTCCCCTCTTCTCTGCCCAGATCCACTTCAGGGCCAGCCTCCTGCTCCTGGGCCAAGCTCTCCACTCGGCTCCAGCCACCTGGAAGAGTGTGCCTGGTCTTACTTTGGTCTCAGACTGGGGGCTTTCTGAGACAGGGCATATCTGCCCCTGGATCCTCCTGAGGACTCAGAGCAGAGCATGCCCCAGCAGGCCACTCAGACCTGGGTCCTCCGTGGCCCTATCTGTGCAGCCTGTTCTTGCACACCCGTTCCTGAGAGCTTAGCTGAGGCAGGTAGTGCCTGTCAGGGACCCTGTTCCAGCCAGGGCACCCCACGCCTGCCTGAGACAAAAAGCCTCCAGACCCTTTCCTCCAGCCATGGTCCCTAGGCCCTGGACGCGGCCACCACCCAGCACACACCACCCCCGTGGGCCCAGGCGCCAGCTCCAGTGACTGGCCAGCGCCCTCCTTTCCACTCCAGTGCTAATCAGCTTAAGGAGAAATATGGCTGCTGAGTCAACAGAGCTAGGTTCCACTTCCTTTTTGTTTAGACCTCAGGTCTGAACACCCTCCTGAGCAAGAGGCGAGGAGGGGAGGGAAGGGGAGCAGATGGCTTTGCTGCAGAAAGGTCTTGGGTGAGCCTCAGGGAGTTGCCTCATGGCTAGTTCCTATGGCAGGGAGAGGAGGCAGAAGGCTGGCAAGAGGTCAAAGTTGGAAAAGGATTTCCGCAGACCCTAGGGTACAATGGAGGGGGGGCGCAGAATGCCCAGTGACCACTTAGTGGAGGAGCCAAGCCTGTAAGACAGGGGCAGGGCGGAGCCCAGGGACTCTCTCCCTCCTCCTCCAGCTCCTCCATCCAGCCTGGGGACACACACCAAAGGGGCTGTGCGAGAATCCAGGTGATACCCTGGGGTCTGGTCATGGCACCCTGCCAACCAGCTGTGTGGCCTTTGAGGGCAGCCCTTTTTCTGTGCCACCGCTCTCCCCATTCCTTGTAGATTGGAGATATGGCCTCCTCATGGGCACACAGGGAGGTTCCTGTCCAGATGAGACCATGTGCGTGAAGGCTCTGAAAAGCACCACTGCTGGGGCTGGAAAGGTCTTCAGAGACCTGTCATGACAGACTTTTTGGTTCAACTAGAGGAAGCAACGAGGTCTAGAAAGGGGAGGTGACGGGAGGCTGAAGACAGGCCCAGGACCCAGGTCTTGGCTTCCTAATGCAGTGATCCTCCTGATATCACAGGGCCCCTCCCAGGCCAGCCCTGAGCATGGTGGCCGACCAGCCCTTCCCCTCAGCTGGGGGCAGCCCTGCACCATCCTGCTGACCTCGCTTGCAAGCTGGGGGCTAGACCTGCGGAGACCTCAGTAGGGAGGAGGAGGAACTTGCACAAGGAGAGGGAACTGGGACGATGATGCTGAGCAGGTTGCTCCTCCTCCCCACCCAGAGACTCCACTCACGCCAGGGGAAGGTGCTTCTCTGCCAACTCTACCTACCAGTGGTCCTTCCATCCCTCCTGCCTCCCTCCTCCAGGCAGGGCCTCTCTGGCTCAGCATGCTCAGATCTGCAAAAGCAGTCTCTCACCCCCAGCCCCAGGTCCCCACTAGAGTTCAGGAAGGCCTTGCTAAGCAAGAACGCTGCCCCCACTGCAGGTCCAGCTCTGTCCTCAGCCCCAGTCCCTCCAGCCCCGCTGCTGACCCCAGGGCCCTCCCCTGCTCCAGTCCCCGCTAAGCTGCCCCTTTCATCCTGTCTGCTCCTCAACCGATACAGTAGACGGTCTCAGGAAGGTGACCTGTAACTGGCTCAGGGGCAGGGGGGCTGAAAGTTGTAACTCCCAGGCCTCAGCTGTCCCAATTCCACAGCACAATCCCACGAAACCAAGCGGGGAGGGATGGGGGCCAGTCATCAGAGTCCCCGCCCCATCCTCACCTGAAAGCAAACTGAACCTAGAGGGTGAGGGAGTAAAAGAGGAGAGATAGGGGCACGCAGCCCTGAGTGTTCCAGCATCCTTGCCACTTTGCGCAGGCCCCACAGAACTTTAATCAGCCCCTCCACTATATTGGGGCTTTTTTTTTTGAGTTGGAGTCTCACTCTGTCACCCAGACTGGAGTGCAGTGGCCGTTCCCGGCCACAGCAGCCTCGACCTGCTGGGCTCCAGCGATCCTTCCGCCTCAGCCTTCCGAGTAGCCGGAATGACAGGCATGCGCTACCACACCCGGCTGATTTTTTGATTTATTGTAGAGATGAGGTCTCGCTGCCCAGGCGGGTCTCCAACCCACGGGTTCAGGCAATCCACTCATCTCAGCCTCCCAAAGGCGCGGGATTACAGGCTGAGCCACTGAGCCCGGCTATTGGGGCTTTTAGACAGCAAGCTCAGCTTTCCAGCTGGGGTGGAGACCTGCTGAGCCCTTCCTAGGGAGGCAGTGGCATTACCGACACTGGAATACCCTCATTATCACAACTTGGCCAACCCTGTGCAGTTTCTGAGTCTGACCTCAGCTGCCTCAGCTCCACCCTGGTCCATGCAATACTGCCTACCCAAGCTCTGGCCCACCCCTTCATCTTCCAGGGCCCTCTGTATCCCCTGCCTCCTTCTGCCCCTTGGCTGTTGCTGCCATGCCAATTTTAACCGAGTGTCATTCTGTGTCTCCTTCATCCCTGTCTTTTTCCTGTTTTATCAGAACATGAGGCTACTATCTCCAGGAAGTCCTCCCAGATGAAGTCTGTTCATTTTCTTTGTCAGTGACAGGAAATTCCAACCACCAAAAAAAATGCCATCTTTGGTAGAACTAAAAGTGGCTTTTAAGAGAAACTGTGACTTAAGACTACTTGAGAAGAAATGAAGGAGGTGGGAGGCAAGAGGACCCTTAGAAATATCTAGCCCAGGCCAGGCATGGTGGCTCAAGCCTGTAATCCCAGCACTTTGGGAGGCTGAGGCAAAAGGATTGCCTAAGTTCAGGGGTTTGAGACCAGCCTGGGCAATTTGGTGAGACCTCGTCTCTACAATAAACCAAAAAATAAGCCGGGTGTGGTAGTGCAAACCTGTAGTTCCAGCTACTTGGAAGGCTGAGGCAGAAGGATCACCTGAGCCCACCAGATTGAGGCTGTGGTGGCCATGAGCGTGCCTGGGCAACAAAGTGAGACTCCGACTCAAAAAAAAGAAAACAATCTAGCCAAATCCTGTCCACTCCCAGAAGACACTGGAGCTCTCCCTCCCCACCCCTCACTTCCCAGTCCCAAGCACTTCCAGCTCCATTATGAAGTAGAACTTACAATGAGAAAGTTGAACGACTGAGTCCCAGAGTGTGGCAGCTCAGGTGGGACGGGCTGCATCTGCAACCAGGCGCAGCAAAGTAAGTGTTCGACTCAGTGGGTCTCAGACTTCTGGGCTCTGCTGAGGTGCCTCACCAGCTGGGACACCCCAGGGGGCAGATCTCAGCACTGGCCCCCCAGTGCCTTGTGGACAGTGAGTGTATGATAGAGGCAGGTGTTCCTTGCTGAAGGCTCAGCTAGATGCAGAGTTGAGCAACTCCAGCCCGAGTGTCCCTGTGGGACGCAGGAACCCTGTCTGGCTTCAACCTGAATTTAGGTCAGATTTCAGATAAGCAGGTGGTTTTCCTGTAAGTGATGAAACCCTCCTCTGTGCTTAATGAGAAACAGACTCA